GCTTGATAATGAGCATGCTATAAACAATGTTGTTGTGACTATGGTGGTCTTTGGAGTTGTGTGAAATGAGATCTGGAGGGACAGGATATATCTCTTTGTTAGATTAACTGACAGTAGATGGGAGAAGCAAAAACACTTTGAGCATATGAAGCAATTTTCTGCTTTCTTCTAGACAATGTGAAGAAAGGATTTTGAACCCAGTAGCTCACCTATTTTTTCTAGCTATGTAAGTCAGTCTGGCAAAAGATACTATCTTTCTCTCTAAACCTGTCCCTGTGGAAAACAGTGAACATCACTTCCTATGTTTGTGTCAAGGATATGTGTCAAAGAGGAGGAGAATTAAACAAAACAATACAAAAACCTGAAGTAGGGATTTAGAAAAATCTTAGCAGGACATAAATTCTTCTTTAAAATGAAGTAGGGGTGCATGTGTTTTCCTGGGCCATGGTTCAGTGTTCAGTATCATGTAAACTGTGTGTAAACGGGAATGGAGTTTTTCGTAAAATCCTGTCATGCCCTAGACACCTCCCTGTATACCTTTATGGGGCTGGCGTTAACAGGAATAAGTGCAATCTGTAGGCACTTCAGTGGCATGGTATAATATGTATAGGTGTAAATTCAGAGATGGTCTCTGTAATACTAATCATGTATGAAAAGAGAGTTCAGTATTTCAACAGGTTTAACCACAATAGACCTAAGACCCTGAACCTTGCAAAAATAAATCACTGCCGTTTAGCAATATGCTCCAATTCAGTGTGTGTTCTTGAAAGTACAGTAAACTTAAAAAACAAACAGAGTGCAAAAATCCCCACGCGCATAGGATACTTGTAGAGTACATTACTGAGGAGTGCTTTATAGGGGATGGTTCTGCTATCTAGAGAGCCTTTACTTTTTGTGTCCTGTTTAGTTTTCTTCAAGAAAAAAGTTTATCAGTCTGAAGTGTAAACATTTGATATCTTGCTATATTTTGCTCTCTGTCATGTACATTTTAGTTTCACATCCCTGTTGAAAATCTCATTCCATTGTCAGATACTTTTGTTCTATTTCCATGCATTTCTTAACTCTTTTATGGAGCTACTCTGATGTCAGAAGTCAGATTTGGGTCCCTCTTTAGACCATAGAACCATAGAATCATTTTGGTTGGAAA